TGATGTTGTGTACCTCAGATCTTGGGCAAATAAATAGCTATATAACAATGTGATTTTATGTGAGTACCTCTTTTAGTTTGCTTGAGGTTGTGGGACACACTTGTATCAGTTTGACCTCTGGAAGAGGGTGAAGCCTGAGGTAAGGGCCATTATGCGGGATGTCCATGCCTTTGGGACTGACTCCCAATAAATACCTGCAGACCAAAGTTCAGGAGGTTCCTGGTTAGCAGTATTTCATGTGTTCATATGTGTCACACATGACTGCTGGGAAAATAAAGCACTGTCCTTATAACTCTACTGGGAGAAATAACTGGAAGCTTGCATCTGGTTCCTCCTAAACTCTGCCCTCTGTGCCTTTTGCCTTTGTTGATTTTAATCTTGTGAAATAATAGGAAATATATATTTATATACACATATATATGTGTATATATATATACATATGCGCGCACACACACACACACACACACACACACACACACACACATATGATATGAGTAGTGTATTTATATATAGGTGTCTGTCTGATTCCTGGCACAGAAGTCCTAAAACCCGGTAGTTTTTAAAGTGATAAGAGTACTAGGAGCTTCTCTTGTTCTAGTATTTGCCTTTGACCCTGTCTCTAACACAGAGCTCCTAAACTCTTATAAGCTCCTAAGTGGTAAGAGCACTAGAAACATCTTTTGTTCTACTGAGGCGACTCTGAGTGGGTGCTGGTTGCCAGAAAGACCAAGCCCTAATCAGAAGTTTTGGAGTTTTCAACTCCATGCCTCATCCTCTGGAGAGGGGAGAAGGGCTGGAAATAGAGTTAATAATTGATCATGCCTACATGAGGAAACCTCCATAAAAATTCCAATAGGACAGAGTTCAGTGAGCTTCCAGGTAGGTAAACATGTCCCCACCAGAAGGGTGGTGGACCCTACCTCCACGAGGACAGAGCTCCTGCCCTCAGGGCCCTCCTAGACCTTGCCCTATGTATCTCTCTATCTGGCTGTTCATCTGTATTCTTTATCATCTCCTTTAATAAGCTGGCAATTAAAGTGTTACCCTGGCTTCTGTGAGCCACTCTGACAAATTTGTCTAATTGAACCCAAGGAAGGGGACTTGTCGGAACTTCCAATCTATAGCCAGCCATCATAAGCACAGGTGATAACCTGGGCTTGCAACTGGCATCTGAAGGGTGCGTGTGTTGGGGTAATCTGGAAGAACTGAGCACTTAACCTGTGGGACCTGACACTCTCTCCAGATAGACCATGTCACAATCAAATTAAATTGCAGGAAACCCATCTGGTGTCAGAGACTTGCCTGTTGTTGTGGGGAAAACTCCTACACATCTGGTGACCAGAAGTGTCAAGAAGTAAAGTGTTCTGTGTGAGTAATAAAGGAGACACACAGAGGATAAACACACAGCCAGGAAGAACTAGGTCGTTCCCTATGTAGGGAGGAAAAAACTGAGTTTTTCCTAAATGGATCTGTATCCTTTTGTGGTAATAAACTATAAGCAAAGCAGCTTTTCAGTGATTCTTTCCGTAAATTCACTGAGCCTGAGGGTGGTCTCCGGGATCCCTGACACACTTATCATCAAGTGTCACTAACAATCAAGTCTCTACACATAACCCATCTGCTACAACTGATTAATTTTATTTGTACTAGCAGTAAAAGAAGCTAGATTTATATCAAATGTTAGGGAACACTAAAAATTGTCTAGGCATGTCAAGCCATGAACAACTTCAAAAAGGGCAGGAAAACCAAATGCTACAGAATCGCTGCAACTGCAAATTAACTTTAAGAAGCATAATAGCCAGAAAGCAATAAACACAGACTAACCTGAATCAGTCCAGATTTCTTCTGTAGTCCTAAGGGTGAATATTTAGTTTTTCTTCTAATGTCCACACCCCAACCCAGTTTTTCCAGCATTCTCACTAATAAATTAAGTCATTCCGGCTGTTTCATTCCTCTGCCTGCTACTATTCTTGTTTTCTGTTGTGCCCTATACCCTAAAACCCAAATTAGAAAGCTGGATATTATCCCTGACTTCCTCTTTTCTTACCACCCACGTCAAACCCAGCAAGTTATCATCGAAAAAATTTTCAAGTCTTCTCTTGTCTTCCTAATGTCTGAGCTCTAACACAGGTGCTAATTTTCTCTCATCCATACTACAAAATCACCATTGATTTGTCTTTCCAACCTTACTTTCCCCTAAACTCTACACTCCACTTAATGGTATGAATCATCAATCCAGAACACAAATTAGACCATTATTCTATGGTCTGCCATCAGCTACATAAAAAGGATATATGGCTCTTAAGGTATACGAGATGCTGTGTGATCCAGAAACTGCTAGATTTCTGCCATATTTCCCCCCAACCTTTGCTTTATACTTATTCTTCGATCTCTCTAGTTTTAACAACTCCTTTCCTGGCTCTTTTTCTCTTGCTGCCATTGCTTAAGTGTAGAGAGTTTCTTAGAATTGAATTTTTAGCCCTTTTTCCATATTTTCATGAATCCCTTAAATACGGACAAGTCTCAAATCTGTATTGCGTTTTCCTATTTGGACTACTGCTATGGATGAACAACATGGTTCAAGTAAACCAGAATCAATGTGTCTGCCCTACGATAAACTCATTACCTTCCTCTACTAGTCTCATTCCTTTTGCTTTTTACTCCTTCTGATAGTTATGGCATTATTATCCATGAGGATTGCTAAATTAGAAAACAGTAATTTTTACTTTTCCTTCACTTTGATCCTTTCCTCTCGAAGTCCTACTTATTTTATCTCTTAACGCTCAAATTTTCCCTCTCTTAGCCATTACTGTCTCTAGCTCAGGCCTTCATCAACTTCTTTAGACTTACTATGATAGCAAAATAGGCCTACTTAACATTCATACTTTCCCCAGTCCAAACCTTGCATACCTTTTCTAAGTTATTTGACCATAACAGATATGAGCACATCATTTCTGTTTAAAAATCTTCAAGGACTCAAAAAAAAAAAAAAAAAAAAATTTAAGGCACGCCTGGGTGGCTCAGTCGGGTGGGCGTCCAACTTTGGCTCAGGTCATGTTCTCATGGTTTGTGGTTCGAGCCCCACATTGGGCTCTGTGCTGACAGCTCAGAGCCTGGAGCCTGCTTCTGATTCTGTGTCTCCCTCTCTCTGGCCCTCCCCTGCTCACGCTCTGTTTCACTCTCTCTCAAAAAAAACAAAACATTAAAAAAAAAAATCTTCAAGGACTCTGCACTGATTACAAGATAAAGCCAAACTCCTTAACACAGGATTCAAAACCCTGCAACTTAACTCCCCAGCAAATGTGCTGGGTTATTAATTACCTGTGTTCTCCAAACGTCCTAAGTATTCTCTTAAGTCTTTAATATTTTTCTCCTCATATACCGGAAATGACTTTTCAACTTGACAAAATACTACTCATTTTCCATCTGTATATCATTAGACAGATTAGTTACTTAGATATCTGCCTCTTACCACATTTGTAAGAGAGAGAAGTTTCACTTAATTTTTATGATATTTTGGACTATGTCACAAATGGACAGTTACTTTAGCTGCAAAAGTATTCCATCCTAAGAGCTTAAAGTTCTAAAATGAACTAGAGAAATGTGGTGCAACATTAGCATAGATGTATCTTCTTCACCCCAATGACAAATTACACACATAATTCTGGCATACACACATTCATATTATGTATGTATGTAAACAAACACAGAATTATAAAAACACAAACACGTAACAAATCAGAAAGAGATCTTAGCTGAAACAAGAGATGTCAAATCAACTAGATGAACACTAGAATCAATACCAGATTCACTGAAATTTATTCATTATATTACCCCATGGAAGAGTAACATTTTGCATTACTACATTAAGGAGAGTTTTCAGATTATCTAATAAAAAAATCTGCCAGAATATATATAGGAAATTCTTAAGTAAATCTCAGTAATGACCAAATCATCTAAAAATACCTTTGCATTTAAAATTATACTTGATATTCTTCAATACTATACCTCCAAAGGTTTGGGTCTTCAACACTGTACCTCCAACTGTCTCCTGGGAGACAGTGTGGTTTCAAAGAAACCACACAAGATCTGCCATCAGAAGATCTCAGTTGTGTATATCAACTTTGATCCTTATTAGCCCTGCAACTTTGGATAAGTCACTTAATCTTTCCCTGAGGCCCAGTTTTTTACTCAGTAAAATGGTGACAATATCTATTCTATCATAAGATTAAATGAAGGGCGCCTGGGTAGCTCAGTGGGTTAAAGGTCTGACTCTTGATTTCAGCTCAGGGCATGATCTCATGGTCTGTGGGATCGAGCCCCATGTCAAGCTCTGTGCTAACAGTGAGGAGCCTGCTTGGGATTCTCTCTCTTCCTCTCTCTGCCCCTCCCTGGCTCACGCTCTCTAAATAAATAAATAGACAGACAAACATTAACAAAAACAAAACAAAACAAAAAGAACCAAATGAGATTTAAAGAAATATAGAGGTGCTTTCTAAATTTTTTTAAATGTTTATTTATTTTTGAGAGAGAGCATAAGTGGGGGAGGGGCAGAGAGAGAGGGACACACAGAATTTGAAGCAGGCTCCAGGTTCTGAGCTGTCAGCACAGAGCCTGCTGCACGGTTCAAACTCACAAACTGCAAGACCATGCCCTGAGCCGAAGTCAGACGCTCAACCGACTAAGCCACCTAGGCACCCCATGAAGGTGCTTTCTAAAGATTTCACCTCTTTATAAATACTGACACTTTAAAATACACTAATAATACAGATACATTACACATGCAAATCTTCTCCAAAGTTAGCATTATTGCTGTCTGGATGATTTAAGATATAAATTTAATATAACCTTAACCCTGTTTCTGAAAAATAGTTATACATTGTGGAAGCTTCACAAGTTAATAAAATATATGCTGACACTTACAAAAGTCTAAAAAAATAAATAACCTTTCCAGTTCCATCAAGAACAAAATCCCAAATCTAAGCTTCTGCTTTACTTACATTTATATCCGTATGGTATATGAGGACACATAATGCTGGCAAAATCTGAGGAAAGAAGATAAACAATAAATAACACAGAGTTGATGAATATGTCTTTGTAAACATGAATAACTGTGATACAAAAAACAGTAAATACTATTTGCAGAGCAAGAAAAGACAACGTTAAATTTGCTTCAATCCCTATTAGGAAAATGAAAATCTGATAAATTCAATCTGAAAAACCTAAAACATACTTCAGATATCCGATTAAAACTTCCAAATAAATCTGGCAGAGATTAATGTACCTTAAAAGAAAAAACAGTTGTTTTCAGTAACTTTCTTTATGACATAAAATGTCAAGTGGAAAGAATGGAGATGAAACTATACAGTATAGCTCTCTAAAAAAAAAATCTATTTTTTAAGGATTTTATTTTTTAGTAATCTCTACACCCAATGTGGGGCTCAAACTTACAATCCCAAGATGAAGAGTTGCATGCTCCACCGACTCAGCCAGCCAGGCACGCCTAAAGAAAGCTATTCTGAAAACTGTCGTCTCACTTACCTGCCTATATTTAATAAGCTACTTGAGTCAAATTAAAGTTTCTGGCTCCAGATTTAGTCAAGAAAATAACAACCAGTACAAAGTATACAGTTTGTTGAATTCAGGCCTTACAGATCCTTTTTTTTTTTTTTAAATCTGGGAGGGAAGAGGTAGAATCACACTAAGTACCCTTTCCATAACAGCAAAACGCAGGAGAAGCTGGTGAAAGATATCAATTATAAAGATTCAGAGTTAACATTTTTTGACACAGTTAAGTGGTTAAAGGCTGCATAGAATTTTTAAAAACTTAAAATATTCAGATCCATTTACAGATTAAATGTAAATTAAAAATTTTCTACTTTGTTTTAATTAATAAATTTAATACAAAGCATGTCACACATTTAAGAACACTAATTTTATCAGAAATCTAGGGAAATTTCAATTGGATTTAATGTAAATTCATTCAAGAACATACGAATTTAAGTTCACCAGGTTTTATCTGCAGCGATCCTTTAATTTTTTTAGCAGTAAACCAACAATGCAATGTAGTAACAAAATTTCTGAGATTTGATTTTCTCCTTTTGTATTTTTCTTTTTGAAAGTTTGTTTCCTTTTCGTGAAAACAGTCATTAAAATATAAGAATTAGGGTGGACTAATATTCTTTCAGGTGCCATAAGATACTCAACTTCCATTTCACAGGAGTCAAAAATTAAATATGATATGTTACTTAAAAAATCTCATACCTGCAATGAAATCAGTATATGCATTATTTCATTCCCTGTGAATGAAACTCTAAAGCATAACATAGGGAAAATATACCATCTGGGCTTTGCAATTCTTCATTTACCTCCTGAACTGTCTCCATAGGCGGTGGGGGATCCTTATTCCTGCAGAGATTGACAATGACCCATGTGACGTTCCGAAGGAAGGTGATGGGAATGGAGGGATTGATGAAGGACAGAAGAGGTTTGACAACTCCCAGTGATATGACATAATCTCTACATTGAGGACCATCACCTACAGAAATGAAAATTGTATTTAAAAAAAAATTACATTCAGGATGAGAAAGTCTGAAATGTATGCAATGGCTCATGTTGGGACACTGATGTTCTATGTTTCCTCACCATTAGTCAAGGGCATCAAGCGTTGCTGTTTCTCCAGATTTTGATTTGGAGAACACAAATTTAACCTAAAAATCCTGACAGCAAATTGCATATCTGTTTCAAGAGGTACCATCTTAAGTTTGTACTTATAAGGCAAGAAGATAGTCAACCCACGTTAAAATTAGAGGAAACATAGGATGTAATGGCTATGCCAATGTAGGAAAAAAGTTAATTAAGATTCTTAATTGGTCTCTTTTTAAACCTAAATCCAACTTACCTATAATGTTTCCCAAAGCCCATACTGCTTGTTCACAAACATTCTGATGTGGTGAATGGAGAAGTCTCAAAAAAAGAGGTACGGCATCTATAATAAAGAAAAATACTGGTATTATAAAATGTCGAAGAGTTTATAGATTTCAGTCTAAATACATTGACAAAATATACAGAGCTTGGGGGTGCCTGTGTGACTCTGCTCATTAGGCAACCAACTCGATTTTGGCTCAGGTCATGATCTCATGGTTTGCGGAGTTCAATCTTCACATTGGGCTCTGCACTGGCACAGCAGAGCCTGCTTGGGATTCTCTCTGTCTCTATTTGCCTCTGTCCCGTGCTCTCTTTCTCTCTCTCAAAATAAATAAACATATATATATATATATATATATATATATATATATATATATATACACACACACACACACACACACACACATATATATGTGTATATATATACACATATATATGTGTGTGTGTATATATATATATATATAGAGAGAGAGAGAGAGAGAGAGGGAGGGAGAGAGAGAGAGAGAGAGAGAGACAGAGGGAGAGAGAGAGCCTGGCACACTATAGTTACCCAATTATAGTTCAATGAATGAATAAATGTGGCATATACCCTTACCCTAAAAAAATTTAGTATTTTCCCCTAATTATATTCAATAACACACCTATTGACAATATTTAAAAGTTGTTATATCATTAACTAAAAAAAAAAAAAAAAATGAAATTTTTCCTGTAATGCATTAAAAAAAAAAACCCTAAACATATAAACTTAGAATATAATACTTTAGTCAATATGATCCCAATCGCTGATATGGGATTAATTAAAGAACTGATTATTCCCATATCTGGCTTACCTTGAATAATAGAAGAGATTTATCATTATAATCCTTATGCTTACATAATTTACATGTTAGCTTAAGTTCTGAAACAATGGTATCATACCCATTCCAGCTGGGAAGCTAAAATAAGCTGAATCATTTTTTCTTAAATTTCAGACAACTATGTACTACTTACAGTATTTTTTGCTGTATCTCTCTGCACTACCAACACTTAAAACCAACTCACACTTTTAACAGCTTTATTAAGATATAATTTACCTGCTTAAGTACACAATTCAACGTTTTTTAGCATTTACACAGAGTTGTATAGTTACCATCACAATTTAATTTTAAATTTCCATTACCCCCTAAAGAATGCCACACCCACATAGCAGTCCTACTGCCCATTCAGCTTTAGGCAGCCATTTGCTTTCTATCTCTATAGATTTTCATACCCTGGATATTTCATACAAATGAAAGTATATAATAAGTCGATTTTTTTGTGTTTGGCTTTTTTCAATTAGCATAATGTTTTTGAGGTTCATCCTTATATAGCACATACCAGTAGTTCACCCTTTTTAAAAAAAATTATTTATTTAAATCCAAGTTAGTTAACACATAGTGTAATAATCTTTTCAAGAATAGAATTTAGTGATTCACCACTTACATATAACACTCAGCACTCATCCCAACAAGTGCCCTCCTTATTAATGTCCATCATTCATTTAGCCCATCCCCCTCACCCCCTCCTCTCTCCCCCAACCCTCAGTTTGTTCTCTGTATTTAAGAGTCTCTTATGGTTTGTCTCCCTCTCTGTTTTTATCTTACTTTTCCTTCCCTTCCCCTATGTTCACCTGTTGTGTTTCTTAAATTCCACATATGAGTGAAATCATATGGTATTTGTCTTTCTCTGACTTATTTAGCTTAGCAATTATGCTAGCTTCATTCTAGTTCCATCCACGTTGTTGCAAATGGTAAAATTTCATTCTTTTTCATCGATGAATAATCCATTACACACACACACACACACACACACACACACACACACACCACATCTTTATCCATTTGTCAGTCGATGGACATTTGGGCTCTTTCCATAATCTGGTGATTGTTGATAGTGAGTAGTTCATTCTTTTTTATTGCTGAATAGTATTCTATTATATAACACATTTTGTTTATCTACTTATATCAGTTAATGGATATTGAGATTATTTCCATGTTTGGGCCATTGTGAGTAAATGTACAACATCTGTGTACAAGTCTTTGTGTGGACATGTTTTCATATCTCTTGGTTCCACCTACTAGTAGAACTGCTAGGTCATATGATAACTCTATGATTAACCTTTTGATAAACTATTTTCCAAAGAGGCTACACCATTCTACATTCCCACCAGCAGTGTGTGAGGGTTTCAACTGACTCACATTTGTAATTTAACTGATTTTATTTATCACTTCTGCAAACAGAAGACCAGTATCACTTACCAGTATCACAAATAGAAAGTAACCAAAAGATTAAAAATGCAAACAAAATACTGTTACTAAATTGTAGGTACAATTAATAGGTAGATTGGTAACTAGTAGGTACCTACTAGTCTCTACTGAAAGCCCTAGTCTAAAATCTGCTACCTTTTTGGTACAACTAACATCTAACTGGGAACTTTCTCCTTTGGTATTACCAAAATACCTGAAAGAGAGTAGTATTCTCACTAATTGACACAATGTAACTTATTGCTATATCATATACTACCTAAAATCATTTTCAGTGCCACCTAAAGCCAGTTAAGTGTTACACGTATTAAGAGTACTTGGTGACATCTAGTTTTTTTCAAAGTGCTGTTTTGTCTGTTTGGGTCAACACACTAATAATAGCCCATCCTGAGGTGGGCAAAAATTTAAAAATATAGATGCTCCAAGCAATATAGATGCTCCAAGCTACTCAATACACTGGAGGTACTAGAAATAGAAATTTTAAAACCTGTCATTAGCAGATAGTCTCTGCCCAAAAAGATAAAACTATTCACTTTTTAGTAACCACAATTAAAATTATTTAATGATAGATTAATGATAGCTATGGGAAAGATACCAACCATCAAAATTAACTCCTAAAATTCACTAGTTTAAACATATTGGAAGGTAAAATTCAGTCTTTACAATAAACTCCACATCTTTGCCTTTAAAATTTTTTTTAAATGTTTATTTATTTTTGGAGAGAGAGAGAGAGAGAGAGAGAGAGAGAGAGAGAGAGAGAAATAGAGCGTGAGCAGGGGAGGGGCAGAGAGGGAGACACAGAATCCGAAGCAGGCTCCAGGCTCTGAGCTGTCATCACAGAGCCCAACATGGGGCTCGAACTCACGAACCGTTGAGATCATGACCTGAGTAGAAGTCTGACACTTAACCAACTGAGCCACCCAGGTGCCCCACCTTGCCTTTATTTTTTTTTAAAAAATCCCAGCAAGTAAGGATGTTAATTTACTTACTAGACTGTACAACAGCTTGAGTCTGTGCAGAAGTTCCTGATGCTATATTAGTTAATGCCCAAGCAGCTTCAAACTGTAATGAAGGACTGTAAAACACAATAAAAAAATCTTTAGACACAAAACTATCACTTAAATTTATGACCCGTAGATCTATACAGTTATCCTTTACCCTGTCCTTTAATTTCACCTTGTTATATCCACCTTGGATATCTCCACCTGTCTATCACTGGCTCCCAAAGTCAGTCAATACAAACCTACTTCTTTTTTTTTTTTTTTTCAATATATTAAGTTTATTGTCAAATTGTAAACCTACTTCTTTAAGTCCAGTGACTGATAGCTGCAACATTTGGCCAGTCATTATTGTCCTTGACTCCTTCCTCTCCCATAAACATCTAATATAAAAGTCATGTCAATTTTACCCTCTAAGTATTTCTTATATTTATAGTACCCCTCTTAAGACCACTGTACTAGTTGAGGCCTTCACCCACTTCACTTGAATCACTGCCACAGCCTCTGTCTTAAAGCTGGGTCCCCATCTGACTCTACTACATCATCTGCTTTACACACTGGAGATATTATTACAAGGCTGCATAATTTTACTGAAAAGATGAGATCATTACAATTTGGAATTGTGACAGAACACCTCACAAAGAAAGTAAAAACTAACCTAGCTTTCCAAAGACAGATAAAGAAAGAAAGGCACTGTCAGCTGGAAATACAAATAAAAGTATCACGGGTGGAATGACCACAATGTGTATGGAGGACAAGGAGCAGATCCAGAGAGTAGAAGCTAAGAAAATATGTAAAAACATGTAACAGGGGATGAAACTGGAAGGGTAGGTTATCCAAGTGTGTGTCAGTGGACAGAGAGGAGTAGAACTCAAATCCCAAGCTTCAACACTTGGAATTTATTCTATAGACATACTAAGTATAGAGGGCTCCTACAGAGTATAGAAAATAATGCAGTGCGTCCATGGTATGTAGAATTAGGATAAAAAAGTTAAAGGCTGGTGGACAGACCTGTTGAAAGTAAATTATGTACATCAAGTTAGGATAGATGGCTGTAAGAATATAAATTCCTTTAAATAGAATACCAAGGTGGGAGGAGGTGAGCAAAAACTGAGGAGTGCCAAAGGTTAGGGACTTAGAAGAAAGCTCTATGAATATCGAAGAAAGAAAGTAAGGTTGTAGTACCAAAGGTTAGAAAAATCCAAGAAGGAAAAAGGTTTTAAGGAGAATAAATGTCAGAGATAGAACAAGCAGTGAGGTCACAAAGACGGGCCAGATAAGAAAATGGAGGAGCAGATAAGAACTATGATGAATTTTGGCAAAAGGCAGGGGATAAAGAGTATATTGTAGGCAGAGAAGAAGCAAATGGACAATAAGATCAAAGATGATGAATTTATGTCATTCTAGGCCAGAAGAAGAAGGGGTTATTATATTAAGCCAGCCCTGGTAGCTTGGCAAAATACTAGAAATGCGGGCCTTAAATGAGAAAACAGTGAGATATAAAAAAATAAAATTACAAAGCAGGAAATGTTCTAAGATCTCATTTAAAAAAAAAGGAAGAGAAGACATAGAAAAAGAATGAGTGCAATAAGTAAACAATAAATGAGCATTTATTGTAAGTTTGATACTGTGTAGTGTTTTGTGTATATCATTTCCATTCCTCACAATCACCTGATTTTTGTAGATGAGGTATCTGAGGCTCAAAAGCCACTTGAGTTTGGGTCAGTAGTAAACCTGGATTTAAATCAATGCCTATTTGGCTCCAAGTCTATGGGCTTTTATATGATAACACTATTTCCTATGACCAATCCATAGAATCAGATCCAAACTACTGACAATTTTCTGCTTTTGCTTCAGGTAGTAGTTACAGAGGTCTGTATATATTTTAGCATAATTTTTTGTATATATGCTATTCACAAACACATCCACAAAACGAGGCTATGCCAAAGGCTGGAATATAAAGTTAAAAAAAAAAAAAAAAAGATGAAGAAAGAGAAGATCAAAGGGAAAAAGGGTGTCCCTAAAAGTAGAGGTAGAACAGATTGTTTTTTAAATAGCTGATATAAAACTTACTTTTACTTAAATAAATCTTGTTACAGAAAATATGTATGTATAAAGTGAGTGTTAAGCATTTTTGGAGGAACAGTTGCAGCATATAATGAAAGGAAAAAAGAAGTATTTTTAAATAAAAATCCTTAGTGGCTACATTTATCTAGTCAACTGAAAATTCCTTAAGACAACATTTAGCAAAATACACCAAATTTTAGTCTAAATACTCTCAAATGCAAAACTAGCATTTGTTTTAAAATACTTTGTGAAGTTAAAACTCACATTCTTCGCACTTAATTCAAGCTGATGAGGTGTAAGATACAACACACCAAGATATCTCTGAACACTAACAGAAATGGGGCTGTACCTTAAAAGGTACAAAGTAGTGTTTTTTCCTTTCTATTCTGGAAAAGTATAACCTGATTTTTAATCTACTGCAAATAAAAAGCATGACATTAGACAATTAATCATGGTTGGAGTTCTGTTAAAGACTTCACAGAAGATCAGTGGATTAGCTGGAATATTCCCAGGGTAAGAGCCACTCGGTTCTGGAAACCATTCATGTTGACTCAGTCATGAGGTTAATCTATATATAGACTCATAAGCAAAGAGTGACTCAAACACTATTTGGGTTGTTTTAAAATATTACTAAAAACAAAAACAAAATAAAGACTATAAATAAAATATTTGAGGTAAGTTAGAAGAGGCAATAAACAGAAGCTAATATTTTCCTAGAAAATATACACACACTTCAAATAGTAAAAAAAGAAGCACTCTAGGTCTAGTGAATATGATCACAGAATTAGAAAATTACATAAAAATATATAACAAATGAAAAACGTAATAAATGCAAAACCTAAATGAAGCCATTTGTTAAATAATAATCCTAAATTTTCTGGTAAGTGAAAAAAAGTGAACAGGGACTCAAATCCATACTTACTTATCATCCCTTTCTAGACATTTGACTAGAATTGGTAAAATCCCAGATTTTATTAGGTCATCAATTGGTGGGTTTCTGTCACTGGATAATAGCTTTCTAGAAAAAGAAATGTAAGAAATTAATTGCTATAATTTTCAAACTATGAACAGACACAGCAATGTATTACTTCTAGCAATGTATTACTAAGACACCTATAATAATACTTCCTCTAGACAAATTAGGATTTACCTTGCAGCCTGGACAGCACTTAACTGGACCACTGGGTTATCACTTGTGGCATTCTGTAACAACAAATGTAAATTTTAGAAATTTAAAAAATATCAATTTCCAAATACTTCAAAATGCAAATATTAAATTAATAACATACCTGCAATATAGCTTCTAGTGTTACATTTTGCTTAAAAGAAAAAAAAGACAGTTCAGGGAAGAGTTTATTAGCAAAATCACATTTATTAAATCATCTATTTACTAAAGTTATGAGTTAATATACATTAATTATCATCATAAAATTGATCTTAAATTCAAAATGAAGTTCTCTGATTATAAAATTATTGTAAAAACACTTTACAACACCAAAGTAACTTACTGCTTTAAAATCAGCATCAACATCTGAATCTTCTAAGCTTTCTTCTTGGGGAACATTTCTTTTTTTCAGTAAGTGTTCATCTCTTTTGTTCTGGATAAGGATAACATGAATTAAATGTGTATACTACAAACCATTGACGGGCCACATTCTGGACTTGGTAATGAAATTAACTGGTAACACTACAGCTTTCACACACACACACACACACACACACACACACACACACTTATTAAACATGATAGTTTTGACCAATATCATGCCTCCCCATCTTTAGTAAAGATTCACATTTGGGAATGCAGTATTACTGTAACAGTCTAGCAAATACATTTCAACTAGCATGCTAGCTTTCATCTACTTACTAAAGCAAGAAGTTGCCTAGATGGGAAAGAGTTTAATGCTCAAATGTTAAGGTCTGTATGCTTGTTGGGAATGTGGGGAAAGGGAATTCATTAGCATAAATGCCACCTACTTGCCAACATCTCATATTTAAATTCTTGCTATCTGGCTTTTACAAACAAAAATTCTCTTCTAGCAAATATATTTCTACATTTTATGGGATTTCAATTGTTTGTAATGGCAGCAACATACACCATTTCACATATCACTCTGGATAAATCAATCTTCTTTTAAGTTTTTAGTTTGTTTATATAATTAAGTCTAAATAAATTAAAGTCTGAATGACTTCTAAAATCCTTTTCAATTTATAATTTCAAAGGCTGTACCACCTAGTCTTCAATACAATATTTACAGAAGTGTTTGATTATAACAGAAAGTTACTGAAGAGGTATTAATATTGATGTTAAAATTCAGATCAAATAGAAAGGTAAAACTGGAAATATATGTATATCTGAAGTTTTCTGGATTATCTGTACATCTACTTTTGTCCAATGTAAAAGCAAGCATCTTAAACAAACTGAGGCTTATACATATGCTAATATTAGATTACCTACCAACTTCTATTTATATCACAGCAGCATACTTCTTTAGCAACTACTCAATCAATTCTACATCATTTTTAAATTAATGCATTTCACAAATATTAAAATCCATGCACTGATATTTTATAGTCTCAAGTGGCTCTCCACAAAATACTTATTAATTTATAGTGGAAAAACTTGGCAGACAGCATCTTAACCAAGTGGCAAGGGTTAGCATGAGTAAAGAACAAATCCACATTGTGTGCCTTCTGGTCTGATGCACTGAGAAAACACCACTTGTATGGTATTCCTGACCAAAATCCCCACCACAACCACCACCACCACTGGAGGAAAATGAGACAAACCTAAACCTGCCATTCTACAAAAACTAGTCTGTACTCTTAAAAAACGTGTCATGAAAGATAAAAACTGAAGAACTGCCGGATTGGATGAGATTGAGGAAAAGTGACAAGTGCAACGTCTAATCCTGGACTGGATCTTAGATTCATAAGGACATTATTAGGAATTAGCAAAATATGAATTAGATCTATGAATCAGTAAATATTTATCTGTGTTAATTTGACAAATGCAATGTGGTTCCATAGGAAAGTGTATGTTTTTATGAAATATGAACTGACATATTAAGGGTAATGGGGCATTATGCCTGCAACTTAACTGGTTTAAGAAAAAGTGTGTGTATGTGTGTGTAAATCAGAGAGAGAGAGCGAGAGAATAAGGCAAATATAGAAAAAAGCTAACAAACAAGGAAGCTGGGTGTTGAGTGAAGAGTGCACAGTGTTTTTTGTACTACTGAAAATTTGAATTTCACAATTTAAGTTTGACATTGTTTCAAAACTTAAAAGCATCCATGCATTGTACTTCGTGATTTGTAACATGGTTAATTTTAAAATCTTTTATATGGCAATTTTAACATCTCTTGGAATTTATTTAAAAGTTTCCCTAAGTTCATCCCATTCTATTTTTATTGTTTTCTTCTAATTATTTTCCAGTCTGAATAATGAAGCCTCCAAAGGCCTTTCAGGAATCGTACTCTCTCCATTTCTCCAACTCACAACAGGTATTTCAGGCATAAAAGCAATACAAAGCATAAATATAGCTAAAGCCTCTTATAAACAACAATGCCTAAAGCAGGGATAGCATTTTATCATGACATATGTTTGCAGTCTTTTTTGGGGGGAGAGGGGGGTAAGGAAGCTCATGTCTATACCTAATTTGCTAAGATTTTTTTCTTTTACCTTTTCAGCCACAAATAGGTGCTTCATTTTATTAAACTGTGCTTCTTTTGCATCTATTGATATTGACATACAATTTTCCCCTTTCATCTGTAATGGGGTAAATTAATTGACTTTCTAATGTTAAACTTAGAACCTTGCAATGTAAAATTTATAAGTTTGCAAGACCTGGGATAAGCTGTTCTTGAAATTTTTTTAAATTAAAAAAATGTTTTTAATGTTTATTTTTGAGAGAGGAGAGACAGAGTGCAGGCAGAGGAGGGGCAGAGAGAGACACACACACAGAATCTGAAGCAGGTTCCAGGTTCTGAACTGTCAGCACAGAGCTAGACGTGGGGCTCGAACTCATGGATGGTGAGATCAAGACCTGAGCTGAAGTCAGATACTTAGCAACTGAGCCACTCAGGAGCCCCTCCTGAAAGTTTAAAGAGTTATTCTTTACTGGATTTAATTTACTTTAATTTAAAAAATATTTTATTTCGCATTTTTAAACCTATGTTCATAGGTGAAACTGGCTTATAAGCACCTTTTCTTATGCTGTCTTGGTCACATTCTCAATGTCATGGGTTTGCTAGCTTCACAGAACAAGTTGGGCAGTGTTCCCTCCTTACCTTCTCTAAAATCATTTAATAAGAAATTACCTGTTCTTTGAATGTTTGCTGGAGTTCTGTCTGCAAGATTACCTTTTCTTTTTCAGGAGGTTAGAAGAGGTTAAATATTTTTAGCTACTGAAATAATTTCTTTATTTTTAGAACTATTCAGGTTTTCATTTCTTCTTGAGTTAGCTGGGTATTTTTTTTTTCCAGTAGGAAGTTGGTCATTTCAGCTAAGTTTTCAAATCTATTGGCAAAAAATTACTCGTCATCAAATTGTGGCACATTGTTGGCAAAATGGCTGAAATTCCCCCTTCCAACGCCTCTGGATAGTCTGATCCTGCCCCCGCACTGATTCCAGGTATGGCTGTGTGACTTGCTTTGGCAATGAGACATTACTCAAACGTACTTGAAAACTGCTTACACATCTGAGGATGTCCTCTCTTGCTGCTCTTACAATTCTAAAACCACCATGTGAACACTGTGCTAGCCTGCTACAGGATGAGGCTATGTAGAAGGCAACCAAGGTCTCAGCCAATAACCAGAAAGTTGTGTGAGACCATCTTCAGATCATCTAATCACCAGCTAACCCATCATCAGTGAATGAGGGAACCCGGCAAATATCAGCTGAACTGGCCCAGACTAGAAGAACCACTCTGCCAACCCACAAAATTATTAGTTGAATAAAATGGCTATTGTTTGAAGCTACTTGGTTTTGGATTGGTTTATTACACAGCAAAAACTAAGTGATGTACTAATATTTTAAAACCTATGCCACATATACATTAATATGCCTTTTAAATTCCTATTATTATTTGTTCTATATCTCCACTTACTATAAATTTCTCTTGAGAAGTATTTTTTTAACTGTATTCAACAGGCTCTGACGTAATTATTTTTCCTATCGCTCATTTCTAGGTAATCATAATAGCCACTAGGATTTCTGTGATGGTCAAGGTTAGAAGTCCTTCCTTCCTTCCTTTCCTCCTTCCTCCCTCCCTCCCTCCCTTCCTTCATTTCTTTCTTTTCACACTATGAGGTTTTTGTAATTATCTTATTCCCAGATTTCTAATTTAACTGTATGGTGATCAGAGAATATAGTCTGCACAACACTCTGAAATTAACTGATATTTGCCTTATACCAGATTTTCTTGAAGTTTCTCAGTCCACAGGGTAGGCCAAAGGAAATACCTAAATTTTTTTTTAATGTTTATTTATTATTTTTGAGATAGAGAGACAGCAGGGGAGGGGATGAGAGAAAGGGAGACCGAGAATCCCAAGCAGGCTCTGTAGCTGTCTGTGCAGAGCCCAACATAGGGCTTAAACTCACAAACCCTGAGATCATGACCTGAGCTGAAACTAAGAGTTCAGCATGTAACACATAACGGACTGAGCCACCCAGGTGCACCTAAATATCCTTTCCAAATAGTTAGGTGCAAACAACTTAATAGTCATTGGCAGGGGATGGAGGGGTTGTGGGGTTGGAGATTGTGTGGGGGGGGTAGGGAGGCATATAAATTGAAAGGAAAAAAATTTATTTCACTCTTAAACAAAATATGTGATTAAACAAATGCAGTGAGATCTAATGTCTAAATCATAAACTACCTCAATCAATCCCTAATAGTTCTGTGATATCTAAAAGATGTTAAATGTTGTGATGTTTCCCTTAAAATCTCACAATTTCCCAAATGTCCCTCTGGAGCCCCATGTTGCCTCAGTGCACTTTGGAAATTATAGCTTTATACTATCACAGAGCCATTTTTCAAGGGGTTTTATACATGTTTTTTTTAGAAAACACTTGCAAATTAAGTTATTTAACTTTTCTTTCCCCTATTAATTGGTGTGTTTATTACTGACAAGAAAATCTACCACAATGATTATGTCTTTAAGAAATTCTGCCTTGTAATTTTGTCAATTTTTGCTTTATATGTATTTGGACATACAGCACAACATTGAGTTGTGACTAACTTGTTCTGCGAGTGTTCCACAAGATAAGCAAACATTTCTAATACATTTTAATTTGGTAAATGAGTAGGGTGTGATGCCAAATGTCATGTGGTCACAACTGAGCTAATGGCTCTTCTCACTCTCTCAGTGTGGGATTGTGGGGAGATCATCTCCCATGCTCGGATGCTTGGTCTCAGGCCACGCTGCTTGGCAGAAATCAGTGATTTTTCAGAACGTTGCAAGGTGTCCACAACTGGCACCAGTATATTTTTTGTCACTTCAAAGTACCAATGGACAGTCCTTTGCTTTTCCACCCAAGAGTAAGCTTAGGAATTCTTTGCTTCATTGTAGGTCAGATTGCCTGCAGATATAGGCCCTTC